ATTAATCAAGTAAAATCTTGACTGCTTAAGTAAGTAACAGCTTTTCTGAGTGATATGAACAGTGATGACTGCTGAATCTTAAAGGTCTGTCTTCCACAGAGAGCTCTGTGCCCAGATGAATTTCTAGCAAATTGAACTATTGTTCAGAAAGAACAATATTATCACTAATTCATCTTTATATTGGTTATTTTAAAGTCTCTTGTATGTGGTAATCAGACTCAGAATGGTGACTCACTATCAGCTTTTCATAGATAACTACTCTATCACTGCAAAAACGTAGATATATTTTTCTATATCGCTCCTTAAAACCATAATGGAGCCATGAGTATCTTTTCAATAGGCTTGTGACTAAGGACAGCATTTTCTGTTAAGCAGATTTAAAAAAAAAAAATCCCCCCCTCCAAAAAAAATAAATAAAAAAAAAAGGATTCACTTCCATAAGGTCATAAAACTCTTGAGGGACAATTTTTGTCTATAGCTATGGGTCTGGAAAGCGACGTGATAACTTATTTGAATGGATGATCCCTGGAGTATTTAAGTTGGCATTTATGAGCAAAGAGAAATAGAAGGAATAAATTATGCAACTTCTGTGGTAGCATTCATTTGCAGTAAAGCGTGCATTGTTTCTGGCATGAGAAAACTGATATGTTGTAATGCAAAGTATCAGGAACAATAAAGGGAATGAATTATGCTGGGTGCTTGTCGCCAGTTCGTACTGTGGCTGTTCTGGGTATAATTTACTTGTCCTGCTCTCTGCATTGATTTGTTAGGAGGAAAGTTATAATCATGAAGAACCCACAGTTCCTGTTCTCTGAAAAGAAAATTAATCAAGTAAAATCTTGACCGCTTAAGTAAGTAACAGCTTTTCTTAATATCTGAAACAATGAAGAATACAGGTTTTGAACTGTTTTACTGTTTTAAATTAATAACTTCACATCTGCTTAAAAAGATAACACTGTCCTGAATAAAGCATGACTTTCTAGCTTTGTATAATGACTCTTTTTCAGATGGTATTACAGAGAGCCATAGAATATGAGATGAACCTTAATTAATATTCTTTCAATTACAATATATTTCACTGTCATATTCTTCTAATATTCATGAAATAGTGAGAAGCTGGTTATAAAGCTAATGATGAGGAAACTAAAAGAATGAGAGTCCAACTCCATTTCCTCCCAGAGAAGACAACTCTTTAATTCCCACCTTCCATTCATTATTCAAAGCTTTGCTTTTAAAAGTATAGACAGTGATCCAAATTCTGCCATCACTTGTGTGCGGAAAATACATAAGTATTAAAATTTCATTGAAAGTTCATTTCAAATTTGTTCAGGTTTCTTGAAGGGAAACATAGCCCTGTATGGATTAATATCTGGGACTGGCGTGCAGCTTGCTTTGGCCACCTCTTTTTAGAGTTGCTGTAGTGACTGCATCTTTAGTGATGGTGGTTTTTAACCTCTTTTAGAACTAGAGCTTAGGTTGCTAATAGTGCCTTGGGCAGCAGTAGGACAGCTGGTGGTACTGGGCTGTGATGCTTGCTGAGGAACGATGCTCTTGCTTGCTAAATTGAGAGCTGAAGTCATTAAAGCAATCAAAGTTGTTTTTACCTAGTGTGTGCAAAGGGGATCAGAACCACAAGCTCTCCTTTCTAAGGTGTCTAGCCTCTTTTTTGGGGGGGGAGCTTAACCACATAACCTGCACTGACGACTCGTTCCCCAATGATGTTCCTCGACTCTGTTGGGTAACTTGCTGCCAAACTCTAAAGCAGCCACGCGTGGTCCTGAAGTAAGCTATGTGATCATAAGGGTTGAGCTGGAGACAAGTAAAGCTTTGTTTCAGACCTTTCCCATGGTGACCCTGTCAAAAAATAAGTTCGATCTTGACTTTTTTAACACAGCACAGCGGCCACAGCCCTGCAGATGCTGCTCACATACAGCTCAGGTTCACACGTCTGAGATAAAAAGCAGATTTAATAAAGGCTGCCAAGTCAAACAGCAATATATGCAGCTTTCGTAATTATAAAGCAGCTTTCCTTTGCTGTGGTGTTTGAGATATTAGATGGGACTATGCAGTCATAAAAAAAAGAATAACTTCTCAGAATCAGCTGCATTGTGAAGAGAAAATAATCATTTTCTACAATAAATAAATCAAAAATCATGTTCACGGCTTCTGGAGTGTAGAAATAATAGCTGACAAAGGAAATAAAATCATGATAGTAACATATAAGTGTGAAAGAAACCCCTTTTCAGTTGACCTGCTCTAGAAGTCATTAGCTAGCAATGTGCTGACAGCACAGGAAAAATAACCTCTCCCAGACTTTTATTAGTTTTCCTGCTGAACTTCAAGTAATGTCAGAGCCAGTTTGGGAATTTAATGCGGTGATTATATAGCATGTCCTTAATTATTTCATAAGGCATTATTTGGGCAGTTTCTGTTGACCAGTTCACAGAATGTAAAACTCACTGCTCACCTCCCAACTTCAGTGTCAGATACTTTCATAATGAAAATCGATCCCGCTTGTGGTTTAACATCAGGCCAATCACCATGCTCCTGAGGTAACTAATTTTTTTGATATTAATAATTGACATGATAGACTAAGTTCTTTCCAAATAATTCTAAGTTTTTGGAAATAGCCTGTCCTTAGAGCTACCGCATTGCAAAATCAGATGGGCAGTGCTGTGAGATGTAGCAGGGTGTGGCTGGGAGCAAGGGGATGCTGCCCTCTGGTTTTTTGCAGTTGTTTTCCTTAAAGCTCATGGTCATGCAAGGTATAAACATAAAGTAAAATGATAAAATAAAATTCTGGATATAGTGAATAATATCATTTTCTTCTCTGGTCAGGCCAGCTTTCTTGCAGTGGTAGCTCCCAGGCACAAGGGAGTGCAGGGCTGGTCGCCTTCACCCAGTTTGAGTTCTGGGCTCTGCCATGCCCCTGCCCCCTGGGCTGTACCTGCAGGGACAGAGCAGGATCTCTGCAGAGTTATTGGACTTCAAATGTGGTTCTCCCTCAGTGAGAAATAACCTGGATTTCCTGATTTGTATTTATTTTTTATCACTCTTTTTCTGACTCAGAATGATGAGCCAAAAAGTAGTTTTCCTGGAAGAATGAGGAAAAAAAAAATCTCTGTTGTATGTCTAAAGTGAATTCATCTGCTGTTGTAACTTGTACTGCAATAAGCCTATTTTCCTCCTCTGTTAGGTTTTATAACTATTGTTAAAGAATATGGTCCAGATGATTTGCCAGACAATATAAAACAGATAGAGATAAAGAAAAAACAGTTGATTTACTTATATAATACTTAAATAAGTTTCCTAATATGTTTTAAAATAGAGTTTAAAATATATTTACAGTGGTTATATTTCTTTTGTCTAAAGACAAAAAAAGATTTTAAAATGTTAAGACCATTCCTGTTGTACCTCTGCCACTCCCTGATTTAAAAAAAAAAAAAAAAAAAGAAAGGGGGCAGAGGGGCAATGCTTCTCATGACCAGGTTCGTTAATGTCATTAATGTGGAGGTGATCTTTGAGCTTTCATTGATGCCATGCTAACTAACTGTGCAGCAAACCGATGTAGCTGTTACTCATTCCTTGCTACTTTGATTATCTACACAGCTGGGCATGCAGTGAGTAAAGCACTTAGGCAAAGGCAGATGTTTTGCTAGAGAAAGTTCTTTAATTTATTTCCACGTGTGGAAGTTGCCACTGAACCTGCTGCACGTCCCAAGGATGTCAGTTATGGCATCATGCCCTGCCGCCCGTAAATTGTGAATTAAACCTCTGCAATCCACAAGCTCTCCGTGACACGCACCCCGGTATTTTGTAATTGCAACACAAATTGCTTTCCAAGGAGATCATGTTAAGCTCTCGACTTCTTCAGTGACACCCCTGAAGAGGTGAAGTACTTTACACTTATCATTAAAGCCCAGCGATCTATACAAATCACTTCCCAACGTGGCACTCACCCTTTTACTCAGACAGATAACCAGCGCATCCCGGAGAAGTTTCAGCTTACATCTGGGTGACAGATAAGAAATTTCGTTGGACAGGTTTCCACTGTGATAGACAGAAGTAATATCTCTGTCAGCAGGAGTATTCAACCATGCAAGTCTCTGTAAAGTTAACGCTTTGGGAGTCAACAGCTTTTATGCAGGAGGAGATGTGAGGCAGTGCCCCTCTGCTCCTGCTCCACTGCTGAGTTGATGCGTCGGGAGCTGCAGAAAGCTGCTGCGAGCAGAGTAGCTGACTCTTAAAAACTGGCCTGGAAAGTGGGTGTGACCTGGAGTGGTTTAGCTGGGGTTTTGGGGAGGAAGGAAGAAGCTGATTAACCCAAAATCAAAGTTTTCATAGAAGATCTGTTCTGGTGCAAGTGTCCACTTGTATTTGACAAAGGAGGGGAGCGGAGCAGCTGGAGCCGCTCCCTGGAATAGCTGCTCTGCAGATCTCTTGGTTTGGGAAGTTATGGGTGAAAATTGTTCTGATCGGCCTTTTTTTTTTTTTTTTTAATTACTTTTTTCCCATCTCTTGTTTGTGATCTGGCAGTGGAAGATGTGGAAATAAAGACAACAAGCAGCATGGGAAAATGTATTCCCCCTCTGTTGTGGTGAGGGTGTGCCCCTCACCTTTTGTACCCATGGTTGTGCTCCGAGCCCTGGGCAGCCAGGGCTTCTTTAGTTGTTAAAGGCTTATTTAGCTGTTAAAGAAGGTCATTGTCACGGTTATTTTCCTTTTTAGAAAGTGTAATTTTTTGAACTTTCAGCACTTAATCCTTTTTGATGTCACAAGTGTGGTTGTTCCCATCTAATGAGGTAGAGCAAAATGGCAGAAGCTGTCTCTGCTAATAATAGTGATATTTGTTCTGTCCCTGTCCACGTGTAAAAAGACCGCACAATTAAATGGGAAATAGGCAGAAAGCAGCTGATGGAGTTATAAAATAACATTTTCTTCCCTTAAGAAAATGCAGGTTAACCTGCCATAGGTAAAATGTCTTGTTTTTCTGATGACAGGCATGAAAGCCAAATGGAGACCTGAACAAGAAATGAGTCTGAGGACAAGGCACCAATGCTGGTCACAAATGTCACCGTGCCAAAACAGCATCGCACTGAAGTTTGCAGGATGATGAAGAGCTGGAACTTGTTACCTTGATGATTCTCCAAATCACCCTTATATTGGGGAATAAATTCAGGTCAGCATTATCTCATTTACTGCTGAAATACCTTGCTGCATTGTAGAGCACCTAAAAGTCTCTTTCATAAGGATCTAACACTGCCTGGGAAATGTTATTATAAGATATGGGCTTTTTTCCCCTCACTAAGAGCTAATTCCTGCCAAATGCTATGTTCAGAAATGCTTCCTGCACCCAGGGGCTTTGAAGGAGACCTACAGGCATAACCAAAAGGCTGAAATGAGGGAAGGATGACACCAGGTAGGGGACACCATCAGCCCCACACCCCTTGCACAGCCACCCCCACCCAGGGACAGGGGGCTCAGGGGCAAAACCTGAGCTAAAGCAAAGTTACAACTAATTGGAGAATAAGGAAAGGAGACAGAGTGCTCGCTCCTTTATCACTTATGCTGCCTTTATCACCTTCTCAGTGGTAGCCTGCGGTCTGAGGGAAAGGTAGGATGTGTAACTCAGTATGAAGAAGAGCTTTGCAGGGGATGCTGCCCTCTTGCAGCACACACTTTGAAGCAGGAGGCCAGCAGGGGCTGGCATTTGGACACCAGGTGCCCGGTGCTGTGGTTTCTCTGCTGGATGCGTCTGCTGCTGCCTCCAGCCTCAGAGTGGAAGACACAGACCCCGACTTCTGCCGTGTGTGTTAGGAATGCATGCTGCACACAGCAAAGATGATGGAACAATACACACAGTGTCATTTGCTCGTTAAGAAACCCAGGAATAGATGGGCACAGGTTTTTGGATCCTCTGTCAGGGCTCAGAGCCAGGGCTCAGTCCCCGCAAAGTGATGCTAGGAACAAACCAAATCACACAAACAAACGAGTTCCAGTCTCTTTCTTTCCCTTCCTGTGCCCTGTGAAGTACTTTTCATCTCTCTGCAAACCCACCTCCTAACGTTGTTCTTCTGGGGGAAGGGGGAACAGAGAAAAAAAAGTCTCTTGCTGACAGCAGACGGCTGGCACGAAGAGCATGGGAAATCCAACACTGCTCTCTCTGGCTTCCCTAACAAGAGAGAAGAAAGCAATGCATCCTCTGAAATGACAGTCCTAAGTACTATTTCACTACAGAGATAAAATAATGGCTCCTGATTCATATTATCTAAGGCAGATGAATTCTGCAGAGCAGCGCTTTGCCTGCTCCCCCTTGCTCGCCTCCTACACTCCCTGGTGTTTTACTGGGCTTGTGGCAAGCAGGGAGCTTGGGATGCTATGGTTTGAGGCATGAACAAATAAAATATCATTTCTCTGCGTAGATAAAATTATAGCAGTGAGTTATTCATATTCTATACTAAAATATGTTTATGAATTCAGATCTAAAACTATCTAATATGTCTCTCTAAAGATGTTTTAGAATATTTATGAAAACAATTCATAAAATTAAATTCCATTAGTTCTAGATTAGCACTTGACATTTGTCAGACTAATAACTTTTCTTAGCTGGAGGGGATACCCCGACTTTCAATAATGCTTAATGGATTCTCTTCCTGATATCTATTTGGCGGTGTTAGTCTTATTCTTACTTAGAGAAATGGCACTGATCTGACAGGATTGCAGTTTTATCTGGGATGCAGTCTTTAATCTGTCCTTTTCTGCTAGCTATATGCATGCATACCATTGGCATATCCGGCGAAAACACATTTCTTATTTTTTTGTGTGCTTAACAATCAGCTTAAACATGACAATCCACACTCATTAATGAGTTAAATCATATATTTTTATGTCAGTGCTGACAAAGTTGTTTATACGGTTACCTGCATGTTTGGAGGGAAGATTGTCTTGGTTTGATTAATACATCACGAATGTTTATGAACCGTGTCCGCCTGGTTGTCATATTCTATACCAGAGACAAGTTTTATGGAGGTTTCTTAACATACATATCTTACTTTCCTGGGCAAACAAAATTCAGGAAGCAATAACAATGACATCAAACAGGTATGTTTGCTCGCCTGATTTGAGTGTTGTAATAGAGCAAGATTCACGCTTTGTAGACAGAATAAAACTCTGATATCTGTGAGTGTAAGATCAGTACCATATATTGTTCCAGATTACACCAGAACAAAATTGTCTTAGGTATCTGGAAATAAGGATTTGAGAAATGTCTATGGATCCAAAGCCTGCAAGTGGACTGCACTGCTTGCACGCTACTTAGTGATTAGAAAGCAACAGCTAGTGAGAATGTCCTTATTAGGCACTTAAATCCTGTAATCTTAATTACCTGTAAGGTTTCTCCCTTTATTATAATCCCCTCCTTTAACCTCAATTTCCTACCTAGTCACCTAAACTAAATCTGCAGCCAGAAAGCACCATCACTGTACACTTCTCAAGCATATTCATCAGCTGTCATTGATAAAAATTGAATTATTTTATTTACCAGCTTGCAAAATGCGTAACATACATATTGTGACTGGGATAAGCAAACCAACACTGATCCTGGTATTCACCTGAACAAGAAATCTCCAAAACTTTGAAAGGAACACTTCAGCCTCTGCCTGCTTGGTCCCTGAAGAAATTCATGTTTTCAGCTGCAGGCTCATGACACGCAGGATCTGTGTCAGTGATTGTGCTGACTTTGGTCCCAAGGTAAGCAATATGCACCATGGTGCTAACAAAAGGACCAAAGGCCATAAAATGGAGCAGCAGTAAGAGCAAGAGCTCTCACCCAAGGTGGCGAGAAGCTTCTCACTGGCTTCAGTGACAATGAGATGGATCTTGACTCTCCCCTGGATGGAGAACCAAAGCCAGTAATGATTCTGGGTATCTAAAGGGACTGAGTATTTGGACACCGATACTCACAGACTCGAATCAGGTGCTGTCCCTGTTCCATCAACCTCTCACTGGTTTTGAAATTCTGGTTTGCAGAGATGTGCCTCTGTGTATGCACAACAGTACGAGCACTTTGATCCCTGGCTTAAACCCACCTCCAATACCCAGAACTGAGCCATTTTCCAGGCCACACGCAGGAGCCTGCAGTGGAGCCCAGACCTCCTCTCCAGCAGGACGGTGCCTTTACCAGCCCTACACAAATCACCTCTGCGGTTCCTGCAATCTCTGGACCAACAATGCCTGAGTTGTTTTGCTGTGCCACAGTAAAGCTTCAAGCAAAGGGGCTGAAAGTGTTCAATTGTGCCAACATATCTGGCATGAAGTGCCCTCAAAACAAGGCAGTTCACTCTGAACAGAGGCTGTTGAATCTTTCCCATAGCTCCTGCAAAACATTTGAACTTGCACTCAAAACATCTTCTATGGCCCTCATATTTCCATACAGGTGCAATTAGGAGGAGAAGACAAAAACCTCATGAGAAGAATTTGTGTAAGCCCTGGAGACCCCACGTGAGCCCTTTGGGTGTGACTGGGTGTCAGAGATCCCTGCTGCCAGAGCTCCTGGCAGTCACTGCTAGAAACTGGCCATCGTGTGTTTCTGGTAGAAACATCTATTTGTTACAGAGAATGTAAGTGTCTTTTTTTTTTTTCTTTTTTTCTTTTTTTTTTTTAATAAAAAAAGAAATAGTGTCTTATCTCCTACTTCTGTAGCCTCCTATGGGTCAATGCTTAGCTCAAAAGCTCTTTCGTGGAGTTTTTCCTGTGATTCTTGCAGCATTCTTCTCTTTTCTTTTTCTGTCTCCAACTTCAAAACCAGCAGCTTGAACATGTGCTTTCTACAAGTTTTATTGTTGTTGTTTTGGTTGTTGTTCTTTTTTTTTCTCATAAATTTATTTATCTTTAGACTCAAAAATATGATCAGTACAACCGTCTTGCTCCATAAAGGAACGCAATGAATTAATATAACTAGTTTAAAGGTAAGACAGTGGTAATTTCATAAGTATTAAGTTCTTTAATAGGTTAGGAAGAAAAAAAAAAAGAACAAAAAGGATAAATTGTAGTAGATAAATTAAAATGAAAAACTTCAACTTTTGTACAAAATAATCATTGTGTAGATCATACTTTTTTTTTTCTTTTTAATATAGTACAAACCAGTAAAAATCTACTGCCAGCTATAAAAAAAAAAAAAAAAAAAATTTAAAGGCTTTTAAAACTTATAGCTGTGATAAATGCTCTTAAGTGCAGAAAAATACAGGAATCATTTATAGTGCTTATTACCATTTCTGGAATAATTCTTTAAAGTCTCTGACAGCTATTTCTTCTTCTTCTTTGGAATGCTCTTACAGGAGACTGTAATTCCCTTGAGCCTTTCATGAGAAAATGAGCCAGGGGTCTTACAAAGCAGGGAGGCAGCTGGGGAATTTGCTGTCTCCAGCTGGAGGAGAAGTTATGTGAGGTGGGGCTGTGGGCTCCACCTGCACGTTCACCCTGCTGCTTCGGGAGGGTGCTCCCCTGCCTGGCTCTGCAAAGCACGAGGAGGGGCTGTAGTGGACACACAGGGGAAGAAATGAGTAGGATAACCTATAGTGTATCCCCAAATTTCTTGTTGGGCTGCGGGATGCTGATGGAGAGCTGCTCCCAGCCCTTCTTCTGGGTACCTCGTGCCAATCACTGCATTGGAGTAGCAGCTCTGGCTTCAAGCACAAGCGCTGCTTAACGAGGCGATCTGGTGAGAAACCACACAGGAGATCCCATTAATTGTGCTGCTTACTGCCCTCATCACCATAGCAGTTATCATCATTGCCATCGTCTGTGTTTTATTCCACATCCCAACACCCACAGGTAGCGCTTCTCGAGGTGGGAGTGCTGTGACACCATCTGGGCACTAACAGCCCGGAGAGGTGCAGCAGAATTGGAGCGGGGTCAGAGTTAATTAATGTCTGCAGACACTGAAATGAAGGGCAATTTGAGCTGAGTATTGCCCTCTCTGTGTCTGAGACATCCCCTTGTCATTGCAAGGGGTTGAGGAGGATCAAAGGAGGCATCATCAGGAGGACAGCACCCTTACTGGCCTTAGCACAGAGCTTTTGAAGGATTTTCTAGACGAGTTTATTGTTTGGTTACTCACTCCTGAGAGTTTTAATGCTTTTACACATATTCCCTGTGATGCATAGGCACATCATCTGGTTCCAGTACTACACAAAATTAACAACATCTCAGGAAAAACATCTAGGGGTCATCGCAGCTAGACTGATAAATATTGCATGACCACTGAACGTTCAGTAGCTGTAATTGAAGCTAATAGGATGTTTGCAATTAGTAATGGGGAATCATAAAAAGTAAAGCTGCTCACATTATTTACTGCAGAAATTTAGATGTTGATCGTCCTGAGACGCTCATGTTTAATAGGTGTATATGAACTAGCTGCTTTGGTTTTGGCTGTAGTCTGTAAAATGTACCATTTATTTATTTATTTATAGTATTTTAGGAATTTTCCACCCTGTTTCAGAGTTCTATATGAACATCTAGAGGTGTACATAGCTGTTTCTTGGTAACGTTATTATTTTTACATTGTGTGTGTCTTATTTTTTTATGTTTTTGATTCACGTATTCAGGTAGCAAATGTATTGTATTTTGGTTACCAAAGAGAGTTCTTTGCACTGAAGTTGTTAAATGTTTGTAAAACACACAGGACTGCCAGGGCAGTGCTTGCAGGAGCAGCCCCACACCTGAGAGGCTGGGGCTGCTGGTGCAATACACTGAAAAACTGGCTGATTTGGCAGGGGATAAACTAGGTACAAGAAAAAGATAACAAAGATAGAATATTAGTTGTTTTGAAATAGCCATTTGTTGCCTGACCTTGTCCAAAAGCATATTTCCCCCTAACTTTACAATTTACTTCTGATGAGTTACAGATTTACACGCCCCTCTCCTGGCCAGCCATATGTGGACATTTACATTCTTTGTGTTCCTGTATGCTGTGGGCTTTGCTTCATGGAAGTTAAATGCCAAACGACCCTGCTGGCGTTGCTCTAAGTGCCTCAGAGTGTTACCAAGTACTGCTGCTGGGCTTTCATCGAGTATTTTGTCTGCACTTACTCTGCTGTCTTGGTGAGGTACCCCAAATTTTTTATCCTTTAAGTATTCAAAGATGGATTTTTATACAAAAGGATTGTGTGAAAACGGAGAAGTTATGTCAGAAATAGGAGAAGAAAAATCTGAGACCCATTTTGGTTTGCATTCTGGAGGAGAATTACCAGACTGTACAGAGCGGGCTGCAGATATTGCTGCTCTTGTTAAGCTTTATTAAAGAGAGTTTGTTCTTGTTAGGCTTTATTAAAGAGAGTTTAAGATAGTTCTGCTCCATTTAGTTTAGTTTAAACCAAAGGAAATCATAGGGCAAGCTCTGAGGGGCTGTGGAGGTGAGATGTGGGAGGCCGGCTGAGCATGAGAGCTGGATTGGGATGTGCAAGTGCCAAAGAAGGGGATGAAGGCTCTCACCACTATAGGCAGTGCCAACCTGCCTACAAATCAGCTCAAGTGGATATTTAGGATTTCTCATGGGCAGAGAAAACCCCTGGGTGGCACAGGTACAGTGCGTCCTGGGAGTGTGCAGCAGCAGGGATGTGACTGGGGGCTGTGCCCAGCTCTCCCCATGCCCCCTGAACTCCTTCATCAGCACCCTGTGAAGATTGGTCTTACCCAGTAGCTCTGGCTTTGTGCTATTTGCAGTTCTAGCAATAATCCTGGGGCTAATTCAGGGACTAGCTCCCTGAACAGAGCAATTTTGTGGGGAGATGTCTAGTGTGGTACAACCTGCAACCCCAAAAGCTTCAACAGCCTCTGGTGATCCTCGTGCAGGTGCTGCTCTGTCAGTGCTACCTGCACTGTGAGAGCCACGTCCTTCTGTAAAACAGACCCCAAGTCACAAGTTAGCAATGCACAGAAAAGGAGTAACAATAGCCATTATTACCATCCTGAATTTTAATATTCTCTAATAAGCATCACAATTCTGGCAATATGAATTGAGCTTTTTGTTGATGTTTAATACATCCATCTGCCACAGTGGTCCAGAAGGAGAAATAATTATGTATGCGGGCAAGAGATCTTGTTGTGTATTGGAAAGATGCCATAGCAAACAAAAGGATGGCTTCTTAATCTTGCCATCTTGGCTCCTGTAACCCAAGAGGCGCTACTGCTTGGTAAGCAGCACAAGTTTTCCACGGGCTCTTTTCTCTCACCCACTGCACAAGTCCCAGATTCACTGGGCAGAAAATTAGCACGTGCTGCTGAAGTTTAGTATGGGATCAGATGAGTTAAAAGAATGAAAACAAAGGACATATAATTCGCACTGGTATACCACCAGCAGGCTTGACAAAAAACAAACAAACAACTTTTTATTGACTTTTTAATTCAAAATAATAATGGTGTTTTTGTATTAGGTTGAGCTTAGGCATGACACAACATTCATTCTTTTCCCTAAATTTCACTTTCGCAGATTATTCAGAAAATCACAGCTTTATTTAAGAAAAATCCATCTTAACAAACATGATAAAAGGATGGTGTTGAAACAATCATAAAGACATTTCCAAAGAACTACTGAACCACCTGCCTTTGATACATATACTTGTCTTGCTGACTTTCTCAAACTTTTCTCAACTGCTAGGTACCTTATACTATCAATAAACTCATATTTGTATTGACTACAGAACTGTAAATTTTAGTTGTCAGCCTCACACCAGCATGTGTTAGTTTATTACCATAGTTTTGTTATTATTATTACTTAACTTCCATCTTTATTGGCATGGAAACCAATTTTACCAAAGAAGTGATCTGACAAAGCTGTCATGGTTGCATTTTCCCTTCTAAGAGCCACCTAAGGTATAAATGATTGAATTGGATCAAGCCAAATACTTTAGCCTATGTTTTCCCTGCTTGCACTTTTAGAAAACTAAAAAGTATCTTAACAGGCTTGCAAGGAACCTTTCCAACAAAAAGACATCTGCATTGTGTGGGAAATATCAATTACTGAGGCAAAACAGCAATCCCCAGTGAGGAAGCCCTCAGATGTTGCTGATTCAATACCCAGTTCCCAAAGTCTCTTCTCCAGTAGTGGGAGGTAGCACAATGCAGGCAGGGGACCACCAAGTCGCTGCTCCCGTAGGGCAATGTTTCAACCAATAATTATAAAATGCCAAGGAAAAGCATACAATTCCACTTCTGAATGTGGGCTGAGTGAGAGGGCATCACTTCGCAGATGGGTCTGGGCTGACATGCGCTATTCATTGCTTTCTAAAGAAATGTATTATATGTTGAGAAATCCCCCACCTCCACCCCAACCCACTGTCTGGAAATTATAAGTGGCTAGAGTGCATTGAATCACACATTTTTTTTATTTATTTTTTTTTCTGTAGAAATCAAGTTTCCATTAAATGAAAGAGGAAAACGCTACGTATAAAATTAAAATAGAGCACAAAGTCAAGGGCAGCATCAATTTGCTTACCATCTTCCTGGAACAATCAGAAATTGCCCATGTGCTACGGATATCCAGATACTGTTTATTTATCTCAGTTCGTAGTAATTTTATGATGAGAAAAAATTATAATGTGGTTTTACAAGAAGCTTTTACAGGGCCAGTTTGTATGCCTCATTCAGCTGGGGGAGGGAAGGGCTGCAAAATCTGGTAGAGATAATACCTCTGAATATCTAATAATGGAAGCTACTTTCTGAAGCAAATTCCTGGATGTACATGAATTTTTCATACCAAGTGAGGTGGCTATATTTTTATCTTTTTGTCTTGAAGGAGTGGGTTTAACATGATTTATTTGTCAGTTAGCTGCAGAAGTGTACAACCACAAGGTCCCAGGAAGGCCAGGGCTGGCAGCAATGTGGGGGCTCTGTCCCAGTGGGTCCCCACGGCCGGTGGCTCAGGCACGTGCCCAGGGAATTTGATCTTCTCCAGGGGTGGAGCCCCACAGCCTCCCTGAGCAGCCTGCCCCACTGCTTGACCATCCTCGCAGAAAAATAAAAATAAAAAATCTAAAAAAAAGTGCTGAGGCACTGAATGGCTCAGATGTGTACAAGCTACTTGTACACCGTGAGCATGTACAAGAAGGATACAAAACACCAGAGTGTTTGTTAAAAATGCCTATGAGAAAGAAGGGAGGCAGGGCAAAATCTTCAAAAGGGATCAAACAACTTAGAAACCTGCACTGACTTTCAATGAGACGTTGTAAGTCAATTTTGAAATCAAGTCCTGAATTTCTGTGTCACCTGCATGGCTTTGAAAGGGTCATCTTTGACTGCTATCACATTTTGCAGAATTTACAACCTGGATGGAAGAATTTGCAGAGAAAATGAGATGCCAGCAAAATGAAAATGAAGGAAATGAACTGTAGAGAAATGTCAAGTGAATTATTTCAGAAATTTCTTCCATTTCACTGTGTCTTATCAAAAAATTTGTATCAAATGGAACCTTTAAGTATTCATATTATCTTAACTTTCATCTGACATGAAGCAGATTAGCTAACAGTAGCAAATTTAGTATGCAGGAAAGCGGAAAATGCATTTAAATAACAAATGTACACAAAAACCATCACAGAAAACATGCTGAGCACCATTTTTACAAACTCTTCTCTGAGCTTGATAATCAGATGTGTTAATAATTCATCCAGGACTGCTTCCTGCTTGGTGATGGTGCTATTAAGACATGGGGTAAGGCTCCTGATTCTTCAGACCTGCAGGTTACTCCTAAAGCCAGGAGTGGCTTTTGATCCATGCCATTGCTCGTGGCTCTATGGTCCTGTGGTGACCACAGAGGCTCTGAGAGTCCTTGACTTCTGGAGGTGATAACATGGACATAGAGATCAGTTTTTTTTTTGAAATATTGATGTTAGGTATGCAGGGGCTGGGCCCAAACTTGCAAATGTGTACGTGTGGGACCCCTTCTCCAAAAGTACCAGCACTGTTCTGCATTTTAAAGATGCTACATGGCCATTTCTGATATATGTCATACTTTGTCATGCAGCCTTCCTTGACACGTGCCATAACTTCCTGCCTGCCCCCAAAGTCTTACAGGTCCCGCTCAGGTTGGGTATTTATTTCTTTTTTAACAGATATATTGGTTTGGATTTTACTGGATTTATTCTTTTTTTTTTTTTTTAATTTTATTTATTATTTTTTTTTAACAGATCATGGCTGTCACTTTATGCATTTTCCTTCTTTGTATGGCAGGCTTCTTGGAGCAGAACAAGTGTATATGGGAACATGTGGAACAGTGATTTACATTAATTACTCCCTAAGTGACTGGTTTCCCTAGGAAGCTCTCCCGCTGTGAGATGTACATAGATGCACATGACACTCATAGCAATGCTGCCGTGCTCTTTGAAGATTTCATGCTTCCTGTGCCACAGTCAGATTTGTCACGTTGGAGGGTATCAGCATCTCAGAAGCTGCTACGCTGGAAAGACAAACAACATATGCTAGAAACGCAAACACGTGTTGTTACATTTATTACGAGAACTGCTGATGAAAATTAAATACAGAATGGTCCTTTACACATTGTGAATGTGACCATATTTATGCACAGTAAGAGAAAGTGTGATATCACCACTTTGTTGATTAGTACAGAGGAGAGAGAAGTTAGTAAACAACAAAAAACTTGTCATTTTCCAGGGTCAGACTAAAACTCAATATTTTATTTTGGTTTTGAAGGGAGAAAGAAAAAAAAATAATGTAATCTAAGTAAAGAAATTAAAAGCTTAAATGGTAAAAACACCATGGTTGTATTGCGAGCATTGCATGTATGCACCAGTATAGATATTTAGAGATGCATGGTCCTGTGAAATACAGATGTGAAATAATTGATCCTATGCCTTTCTAAGTGTTAAAAATGCAAAACTCTCCAGGAGGACTTGTTATAGCATAAAAACGATCTCCTCCCAGGACCAGTTCAGGTGGGTGGCAGCCCCCGTGCTCAGCATTGTGTGCCATGCTCTCACCACAAAGGCTCCTGCTTTGATACATGTGTGGAGGCTATTGCTTACACCCAGTTAGTATTTGTCCTGGATTTTCTCTGGTTCTTTGCTTTGATGGTGGTTTTGAACACTTGCTGCATGTTCCATGCACAGGGACGATGTGCAGGCAGTGCCCAGCCAGGGCACCGCGGGAGATGGCACCGTGACACTAGTGGCTGGTGTCCCTGACCATGGCAGGGAGCTGTCTTTATGGTCCTTTCCAACCCAAACCATTCTGTGATTCTGCGAGTGGGAACCAGGAGGCACTTGCTGGGAACAAACACATCTCGGGTGAAAGTCATTTCCTCCCTCAGAAAAGCTAGTGGCACTGAGGTGAGGAGAGCGAGGGCTGTGGTCGCGCATTTGACTTTGCAGTTTATTAGAAAAGAGCCTCTGAGGGACGGAGGCCTTTCACACATCACCTCCCAGCTCGCCGTTTCCCCTGGCAGGTGGATATTACTGTTTTCTTTGGTGATGAACAAACTAGAAAACTCTTCAGCTTCCTCTTAAGGCACAAGCGTATCATTCTGTTGTTTGTTTGTGTGTTAACAGTTCAGAATGAAATAGTTATCTGAATTGCCTTAATCTCTGTCTGTCATTCTCAACATTTGTTGTACGCCCCATCCACTAATGGGTTTGCATAATTCCTATGGTTACTTTTGTTCCTGTTACATTTAACCCCTACATCCCTTTCTCTTTATTATGCTTGTACCTCCTTCAAAGAGGTGTCTTCCCTTGCTGCCACCGGGCTCACCACCCAGCTCGCCATGCTTTGCAGGCTGCTCGAGAGTGAGCGAGGGATCCCTCCGTACCCACAGCCCATGAGTACCAGAGCTCACTGCTGTCGCTGCTCTATATCCATCCAAGACTCTGAATTATGCTTGTTAGAGGCTTTTTCTTTCATTTTCTTTGATATGTACATAAATATAGTCATAGGTACATTCTAATGCACTTATTGGGTGGTAGCAAATGCTATATTTACTCCTTAAGGACACTTTTATTTTTTTAATGCATTTGTTTTTTAAGATAAAGACAATATAGTCCAAAGGGAAAATAGAAAAACAAAATAACACCAACCATCCAACCCAAGATATTCAGTATCACTGTGAAATTTCAAAGGCCTAGGTGGGGAAAAATGCCAGACATATTACTGTGATCCTGGTATATTCACCTCCTGAAGCTTAGGAGTTCAAAGCTATAGAACGAGGGAGGTCTGTAAGGTAGATTTTTAGAAGGTTTCTCTATTACTGTTAGCTGTGCTGTTTGACAAATCCATCTGCATATGGATAACCCTCCTGGCCGCATATGGCAAGTCAAAAAAAGAAAGTGAATAAGAATATAATCACCCTCTCTATACCATACCCATTTACGCTCCAAACATTCAGGCCCTGAAGGATTAGAGCTGAAGCTATTTTTGTTGCGTTTCAGCACTCATTGGCTCAAAGATAGCAGAGTTATTTGCTGAGGGATGGACTAGTGCTCAGAGAAGTCTCTCCTGCAGAAACAGAATCTGTTTTGAATACCTTTATCAGAAAATGCCCACCAGACAGATGCAAAAGCTAGTTTACATCTATTCTTTTCAGAAACAGGCTCTGGCTTGGCCATTGGAATACTCCTGTATATTCTTCCCGTCCTACTGATAGCCCTGGACCTGCTGCACGTTTTTATATTTTCTCTGAGCTTGCTGTGCACAGCTAAACGTCCACTTCATAACTCTGACAATGCCTGAGCAGAGAAGCATGGCTTCATCACAGAGAACAAATAAAAGGCAGAGGCAGACCCTGTAGATGAAGATTGCTGTTATGGTAATTCAGAGCAGGAGATAATGACTGGCTAAACAGAATTAAATCATTTAGCTTTTGCTTAAACAAACAAAAACAAAACAAAACAACAACAACAAAACAAAACAAAAACCAAACAAACTAACTAACAAACAAAAATAAGCTGGTCTGAGAAAGGATAAAAATGAATTTTGAGTGAGGAGCATCAAAAATATTGTTATTTAAACTCAAGACATATTTATGACAAGGCACTGCAAAATACAGAAAGACGTCTGAATTGGGAAGAGTGGAAAAGACCAGAGGGAACCAAACTCATGAGCTTGGTCCCTTCTTGTCTGTTAAGAGGGCTATACCAACAAATCCTCTTTTTGTGCAAATTCTGCTTTCTTTATTGCTCTATCCTGCAGCAGCTTTCAGTTGTGCTGGGTGCAGATGCCCATTTTTATTGGTATAGGTAGGGCTTGGGCAGTGCAGTGATCAGGGCCCATCTTCCCCTCCATGTTGAGTTAAAAGAGACTTTGTATACTTCAGGAGATGTCTCTGCATTATGGGCAACATCTACTGATACTATGAGAAAAAAATCTGCTCAAATCTGAAGCAAAATTACTCGGGCAAACTTTACTGCAAGTGAGTTTAGCAATGGAGTGTGCTGTTATTGCATTATACCTGCTGAGACGCTGGTAAAAATGGCATCGCCAGCTGCCTGCTAATAATTATGGAACATATTAACACTTTCCAGTGGATAGTTTAATTGCTTCCTCCCTCAGGAAAACAAATTTCATAAACCTCAGCCTGTTGTTATTTATGGCACATTTAAAGCTTTTTCAATAATCTCAGCAGTGAATTATTGTACATGGATGCAACATGAGAAAGTCAGACGTGCTGCAGCCCGGCGTTACGAAGCCCCATCGAATATTTGCTCTATTGCTTTTGTTGTCACAGGCTGTTTTCCCACTGGAACATTAAAATCTGAAACTGGCTATAACAACCGCTGAATGATAAAAATAAAGCTAATGGCATCTAAAATGGGATTTCAGTGTAATGAGCTATGGTAACGCTGATACTCGAGTACTTGCTGGTGACCCCGGAGCACTGCCGAGTGCCCGTCCAAGGCTGCTGCTACGTGCTGAATGAGGTGAAAGCGGTGCTTTTGCTGTTGAGTAAGGGCTCAGGAAGGGAAGAACTGGGTCAGAAACGGGCTTAGGGGCTGCAGTGGAAACACCAGATGGTGTCATAGCAAAACTGGCATCTTAAAGCATCTCTGGGTGAGGGGGTGTGTGGAGAGAGCCATGTCCTTGGCCCACTGCAGGACCCAAAAGGCTGGTGGTGGTGGTGGGAAGGACGTGTTTTAGTGGGGACAAGGCATCCCCTCATGCCCGGCAGCTCCTAGCATTGCTGCGGCTCAGCTTCCCTGCCTGGGTGTGCCCAAGGCTCAGTTTCACTTCCATGCCTACTTTCTGAGGATCTTTAGCTATGCAGCTCTCAGAGCGGAATTGTTGCCTGCTTGACTGCTACTTGTAGCCTGGCAAATCCGACCACCATGTAATTAACACAGTTTTTGACAAGCTCGGCTAAAGGGATGTTTTTTTAAAATTGTAGAGGCAAGCACTTGAAGGTCAAATCCATTTTTGTCCCTGTAGCCTTAATGCTTCTCCATACATTTCCACCCTGTGCATTGAATGGAAAAGATATCATGTGAGCATGTAATTACAGACTGTATTATAGAGCAATAATTCCTCAGCAAGACAGCTAAAGACTGACTGAGAGCTAATCTATCCAAAACCAATATACCAGTCCCAGCACAGGCTGGACTCAGGCCAGGATGTAAGCCAGGAACAGCTTTCGTGACACTGATGAATACGGTTTAGCTGCTGATGGATGGAGAGCAGACATCCCCTTTTATCCTTCTAGACCACTCTGGCATTCAATCCTGCGCCGCTGCCCTGCCTGAAAGTAAGGGCAAGGCCTTCAAGAGCACGCTGACACTTTTGGAGCTTTCTCCCCAAGAAGCAGTGGCAGCAAGCTGTGTTTCTGCTGGCAGGGCTGCCTGTGGAGCCGTGCAGGTCTCAGCTCCTGTTGGCAGCAGCGCCTGAAATACCAAAGGTGCTCCTGAGGCCTGCGTGGTGCTGGTGCTGAGGGGGGAGCGGGCCAGGACAGGGCCTGCTGAGGACAGGAGATTGGAGGCTTGGGGCAGGAGGCCACAGCAGAGGGTTGGGTACAGGCTGGGTGTAACGCTGCCGTTGTGGTCATTAGGGTAACGCTGGTGTCAGTGTGAGCTCCGAGCTGCAGGCCTGTGCTGCTGTGGGGTATCCATGCAGGCCTGTGGTGCTGTGGGGTGTCCATGCCGGGTGTGTGCCGGTGTGGTGCATAATACACACAGCGGCCCTCTTCTGACGTTGTTTTTGTCAGCTTCCTACACAGAATGCAACCCAGAGAAGGAAAACAGCGACTGTGGGCAACTGATCACTGAGCCAGGCCTGGAGGGAGGGCAAGGGGAGCAGCAAACAGACATCCCCACCTGCAGGCTGAGCCCTCGCTGGATGCTTGGCAGAGCCCTCCGCCCTGCTTGGAAGAGAGGCTTTAACAGCCCTCCTCACCCAGCGCCGGTAATTCTCATAATGGGAAATGCGAAGGTGTTTAAAAGAAAACACTTCTTATATCATTTCCTGTATTACTTAAAGTCTCAGACTATCAAACCAAATTCAAAGCAACTTTGGGGATGTTAAGGTACTTTTGAAATAAGTGGATGTTGCTGCTATATTTCTGTCTACTGGATCAGCCAAAGTGACAGCTAAACAGAAAATCCATTAGAAAATTTATATGTGTACTGTTGTTTGGAAGTTGGAAGAAAACATATTTTGATGTTTAGATACAAGAAGTATGATGTTCAGGGACTGGAATAATCCCCACAGGACACAGTTCATTCGCAGTACATCATCCAAGGACAGTCAGCTTCAGGCTCTGCTTTAATTTCCTGGTGAGCTTCAGAGCAATATTTATTCTGCAGACAAAAAAAAAAAAAGGAAGAAAAAAAAAAAGAAAACAACCCTGCATCTAGTGAATATTTATATCAGAAGGGGAAGGATTCTTTAATAACTGAGAGTACATAAATCCATGAATAGGAGAGACTGGAACAAAAATTGAAAGGTCTAAGTGTGCGGACAGTTTGGTTGTAATTTCTAATTAGAAGGAGTACAGAAGAAAAACATTATGCTCATGATTCATTTTAATATAGATGGAAGAGTAGGAGTTTCGAGCCAGTATTTTTCAGGACTTTCCACCCACCACACTGGCTGTAAATCCACCACACCACCTGCGACAGCCGGGGTGTAGTGCCCACGGTGCTGGGCTGGGCACAGCACGGTGCCTGTGCACCCCACAGGTGGCACCCACCATCAGGAGTGTGCATGGCATGGTAGGGCTACACGCTGACACCTGGGGCCCATTTCTGGAAAAAAAAATAAAAAATAAGAAAGGAGCAGGTCAGCGGGGTGAGCAGGGCCCCGCAGCAGGCAGGTGAGCTCTGGCCTGAGCATGCCCACGCTGAGCAGAAGTTGTACCTGGTGGGTATTCCTCCTATAGGGACATAGGTTTGGGACATGCAAAAATTGCAAAGATGTGCACTTTAGCAAAAACTATTTTTTGTTTCACTCACACAGCAAATAACTGTAAGTATGGTGTCTTAAAAATAAATTACTACTTGAGCAAAAAAAAAATTGACATTTGTTAAGGTAAAATGTCCTTACCAGATGATGTGGTTGGAAGCAGAGCTCCCGAGCTTGCTGGGCCCAGCCTCCTGCCCACAGTGGGCCAGTGCCAGCAGCACGTGTAGGATCCTACCCCGGCAAGTTTTCAGCATCTGCGAGGACTTCAACAGTACTAGGGGTATTTGGAAGAATAGAGGCACAAACCACTGTGGTTTACACAAGGCTTTAGCACTGAGTGTATCTAAACTGTGGATTGCAAAGCCATGGCTTGAGAACAAAAGCAACTGTTGAACACCCACAAAACCACTGTACCACTTCCAGCTGGCAGCCGAGATCCATCAAAGTCTCATTAAACAAATGTCTCCCTTGCAAAAGAATATGAAAGATTGGGAAAAAAAAAAATCAAGGTGTGTGTATTTCTGAGACATCAACTAAGAAAAGATAAAAAGAAATATGGAAAAATTGCAATTGAGAATTTGGAAACATTGCAATAGCTGATGGAGAGATCTGGCAAAGGCACGACACCTTGTGAGAAGCAGCTTTAGAGGACAGAAATTTCCTTGTCGTGGATAACTCCCTGAGCAGCAGAGATAAATTATAGGTGTGTTTTTCAGTGAGTTCCCAATCTGGTTTTCACTTTGTTATGTCAAACTCAGCATGCACATGTTCATCATTGTCGCGGCCAAAATTTCCCTGTGCCCAGAAAGACAGTGAAAGGCTTTTTAAATAGCTACCTTGCACTCCAGCAAGTGCCAGCCTGGGAAACGCACTCGGATGAATAATGCCATCACTCGGTCTTGCTCGCAGAGAAGTTGAAATGTGAACGCTGGCGACTACAGACACGGCACA